CCCCCCCCACCTCGCCCTCGCCTCGCGCCCTCCCCTCCCTGCTCCGTACACACATCCACACGAGGGTGTCCTCCGGGGTCCTCCGGGGTCCTCCGGGGGTTCGTGAAGGACGAGGAGACGGGGGCGTTGTAGAACACGGCACAGTAGTTGCACACCGAAGAGTCACGTTGTAGCGAGCGTTTCCGGGGAACAGCTGTTGAGGGTGGGTTGGAGCTGCCCGACGTTGTTCCTGACGGCAATGTTTCGAGTGTGTATGTGGGGTGGGGGATGGGGGCGGGGTGAGTGTCCACTGCGGCGCACCATTTAGTCCGCTAATCACCGCCCTGGGCCGAGGAACAATAATAAGGAAAGCAAAGGTGGTGCGGCATGGGGGAAAGGGGGAAGGGGGTGGTGGTGGAGAAAAGAGGAAAAGATGTTTGAGGCGTTGCCCCAATCGGATTACTCCGGCAAGAGTGTTGGGGCAGAGGGCGGGCAAGAGAGAAAGGGTTAGCGAAGGAGAGCAAATATCGCCGCCGTTCGTCGTTAATCCGATAGAGGGCTTATTCCATAAGCAGGGAGCAGGTGGGGGGGGGGGTGTTGATGTGCGTGCGTGTGGGAAAGGGGGGGGGGGCACTCACGAGCGGGCAAAGGCCGGCAAGGCTATCGCCGAGAGGAGTAGAAGAAACGGGAAGTAGTGAAAAGCCGTACAAGTGGGAGTAAAAGAAGCAGCCAGCTGGCGGTGGCCGCCAAGTACCAAGCACAAGCCGCCAAGTACCCGACCCGAACTCATACCAAACGGCAATGGCTGACTCACGCCGAGCACTGTCGTCGTTGTACTGTACCGCATGCACTAGGGCGGGTGGGTTGCCTACCCGCACGGGGCTGTACACCCAGAGCAATTTGGAGCCCTACCAACCATCGTACGGTTACCTCAGAGACACCAGGAGGGTTGCATAGTATAAAAGTGCACGTCGCGAATCAGCCACCTGGTACATTTTTAGACAGTGGTCGTAGACTAGTCCACGACGGGCGCGTGGGCGCTTTTTATGAAAAGAAAATCGAACGTGTTTGTGTATGTGGCTCTTCCACGCCGCCGTGTCACCCGCGCTCACCCTCACCCGCGCCTCCGCCCCGCGCCCCCGCCCCGCGCCCCCGCCCCGCGTCGCCGCACCTCCGCTCCGCATCCAGGATCCAGGCAATGCTGGCGTGCACGCGCGCGCGCAGGGCCGCCTCGGTCCCTCCTCCGCCGCTGCGCCGGGGCCCCGCGGTCGTAAAGATGACACGTTCGCTCAGAGGCAAGTGACAGGCAACTGATATGCGAGCGACGTCAGTCTGCAGAGCAGGCGAGGTAGGCGGGAAGTGCGGGGACAGGCCGGGGGG